TTTGTTTTATTTTACTGAAAAAGCAACGCAGTAACCGACTTTGTTTTTCAGGTTCACGACTACCTGCGGGGCAAACTTTGTTCTCTGTACGAGAACGACTGCATCTTCGACAAGTTTGAGTGCGTCTGGAACGGATCGGACAGGTGAGACATCTCAATCGGTCATGAGAGAAATGAAATCCACGCACGCGTCTTTGTAATGCTCGCCTCGCTTTCCCCCCACCCCTCTCAGCGTCATAATGACGGGCTCCTACAACAACTTCTTCCGAATGTTCGACCGGAACACCAAGCGGGACGTCACGCTGGAGGCTTCGAGAGAGAACAGCAAACCCCGAGCAATCCTGAAGCCTCGCAAGGTGCGACGCCGGACGCAATTATTTGTAGCTTCCATCAGAAACTGGCATTTTCAGATGACTAAAACTCCACTGGAAGCTCAATATTTTATTGGTCATTAAATCAATAATAACATATATCGCAATAGGCCAGTGATCAATATCAGTCGATACCACGCCTGATAGAATATTCAATATGTATAATATTCACTGAACATTCAGAGCTGAAATGTAGGCAGAGGAAAGACTCAACCTCTCGCTAAGCTGGGTTTGTGGCATCAACTAGCATACTCTCTCTTTGGTTGCCTAGCAACAACTTGTTGAGTAACTCACGCAGCAGCAGTTCCAGGTTTCGCCTCATAACTGCTTAAAAATATAAAAAAAATAAATAAATAAAAAAAAAACAACAATGGCGTGGAGTGAAAATTGTGAATAAAGCAGGAAAGATCATGTCACCAGTTTGGCAATATTTCATAAAAAACTATTTAATAATTATTGATACCCACTGATATGAACTGCATATATCATAATGGGTTTTTCGGCCATGTTGTCCAGGCCCATGTTGTACTTATTCTTCCATCTTTCCACCATTATTGGTTTGAATTGGAACGATCAGGGCTAATCTCGAGGGAAGGAGGCGAGTAAGGATGGCCAAGCCTATTAAAGTGACACTAAGTTTAGAGTTAGAGCAGGAATAAATCTGTTTCACTGTAGACAGCAGATCTCAAGCGTATTGAAATATGCTAAGTTTTTAGACCGTGACAATTTTTCCCTGTATGTTGACCTTCAATGTGACATGCAGAATATCTTATGCAATTCCAAAGAGAAAACAAACAAGTCTGCTAGGAAAGGTTGTATTTAAAATAATTTTAAATACAACCTGTCGTTACCTGGTCGTACACCATTCAGGGATCTGGTGCTTTTCTCTAGCAGTCATTGGGTATCGAGGTGAGGTACCATAAAACAACACTAAGATAGACAGGACTAATAACTATGCATCTTTTGATCCAGTTGCAGCAATTGGTCATATTTGATACACACCTAACATGGTAAATGTGATTATCGAAAAACCTTCCAAGTGTGCAGGTGGATTACAAAGGCAAAGGAAACAAAAAAACTGATTAAAGACGAGATGGAAACTGTTCAGGAAGTCTACAGAGTCTGACAGCAGCACTGACGGAGCTGCAGGAAATCCTGCCATCTGCTGGTAGTGGGCTGCATGTGACAACTGGGACTTTGATTACACCAGTTCATATAGTGACCCAAACATTTTAGATGTGTGCCGGGAAGCTGGAGGTGAAAATTTAGTTCATGCAGTTATTTAGTTTTAATGGTGTGACTTTTTCCTAATAACAAGGGTTAGATAGAGAACATGAAAATAGTTTTTTTTTTTTCTTGGTTGGAAGAGACTAAAAAGACTTCCAAGACCAAATAAACTGGACTTTTTTTTTAAGTTAGGAAACTGTCTACCTTTTATTAAGACAAAATAATTATTTTGCATTTTAAATTAGAAAAATAATACTGAATTATGAGTACTTTAAATTTTGGTATTCTGGACCATGTTGCAAAAAGTTTGGACAACACCGTTGAAGAGTAATTCCAGCTTTTTCATTGCTTTTTTTTTTCAGTTGAATTGTAAAAGATGAATGCCAAAAAAAAAGTATACAATGTAAACTATTGACATTATTCAAGTTGTCCACCCCTGCTTCAACAATATATAGAGAATTTATCTAGCATTCGATTGATCTGGAGTGGTTAAAAAACTAAAATAAAATGAAAAATGCAATCCAAAAGCTGCTCCAGATGTGAGATGCTGCATGTGTAAAAACGCCTGACTGTCCCTCTGCCCTCCAGGTGTGTGTAGGTGGGAAACGTCGCAAGGATGAGATCAGCGTAGACAGCCTGGACTTCAGCAAGAAGATCCTCCACACGACGTGGCATCCACATGAGAATATCATCGCCGTGGCAGCCACCAACAACCTCTACATCTTCCAGGACAAAGTGAACTAAAAAAAACGAAAAAAAAAAAAAGACAGTCTGCCCCAAATTATGAAACCTCCCAGGACCCAAACATAATGTGAGGGGCTGCTGTCTTAAATCCCCCCCCCACCCCACCCCAAAAAAACCTCCAACTCTACTTTAAGAGAGTCATTTGTCCAGACACTGATGTGAAAAAGTGAACAGTGAAACAGACACAATTCGAGGAAAAGGCTTCATTCCAAGAAAATGACTCCTAATTTAATTTATTCAGCCATGCGGACAACAGGAGGATCAAATCCCGTGCGTTTATGCAACACGAAGGACCGCTGCATGAATAATGTTATGTAGCAGCCCTCTGGACCCTGAAGAAACAGGTGGATAGGGGAGCGATGCATTTTCAAACAGAGCACAGAGACAGATAGCCAGCTCACGTGACGATGGCTCTTCTTCATGTAGCGTCGGGGCCTGAGCCCCCCAACAACTCCCTCGACGTTTCAGCCCGCTCGAGCTGCAGCGCATGCGATGAACCCTGCGGCCTCCGTCTGAGGTCGAGCACGGGACAACACAAAAGGAAGAAGAAGAAGAAGAGACTGTTAATAATGCCTAACCCCCGCCCAGAAAATGCACGCAGCACGGTCAGTCTCACCGGTTCCCCGTCTCCTAGCCGAGACGTCTGTAGTCTGCGACGCGAATGAAGCCCTTCCGGCGCGAGTCGATGGTTTTGTTTAAAGCCGTTCGTTTCGTCCTTCTCTCGGTTGGTGAGTCTGTGTAGAAGCTGTGGTGCCTTCTTTTGGTATGTGGGGCTTCGATGTAATTGGGTGTGGGAGGGAGGGTAAGGGACTGTGTGAATGTTTTAAATTAAATGTTAACTTAGGGTGTTTTTGTTTTTTCGTTTCTTTTCTTTCCCCCTCTCTTTCTTTACCAATGAAAATGAAAGTAAGAACAAAAAGGCTTCACTAAGATCGCAAATGGACAAAGTTTTGCAAGTGATAACAAGGAGGAGAAGACGCTGTGTTTTGTACAGAGGAACCGCCGTGTGTTGGATGTTCGCGATTGCTCAGAGAAACGATAAAGCCACAACTTTTTTCAGTTTTTGGGATTGTTATTTAAAAAATAATAAAACTGAACTCTTTGCTACATGTTGCCCTGTTTGGATAGCGCTGAAATTGATTTGTAGGCAACATGATCACAAAAATGTTCAGCTTTATGATTTAATATGACCTTAAAGTAGACCATTTGGGCGTCACAGTGCCACACTAGCTTCTTTTGCATGTGCTGGATGTGAATCTGTTGAAAACGGCAGATCATATGAGGCACTGCGCCATGAATGTTTTTTTTTATGTTGTTTTTGTTTTTTCTCCCCAAAAGATGTCAGCTAAAATCACTTTTGTATGAGATCGTTCCGATACTTGTGCATGTTTGTCATATGGGTTGAAGATATGGGCAACGACGGACAGCAGCAGGTCGTCTCGCAGTAATCGGCTCGGATCCTTCTCCGGTTTCGGTGCAAAATGGTCAGAAGCGATTGTGGACTCTGTAAAATCAGGGAATATTTGTGTATGAGTCTGTTTAACGGTGATATCTTCTAAACTGCCCCTCCTTTGTGACACTTCTAATTGAAACAAACCAACTTTTATAGCTCAGAATGTATCGAAATGCATTGAATTACCATGCAGTCTTTATGCTTACTGGACTTACTTTGAATAAAAAAAAGAATAAAGATTTGCAAGCTGAACGCCTGTTAGTGTGGACTCTAATCTGTAAACATCTGTTCAATCAAAGATCACAGCTGTGCCGGCTAGGGGTTGACTGAGATCAGCCTCTGATGTAAGGTCTCCCTCTAGTGGAGAAAGAGTGGTAAAGGGATTTTGGCTTCTCTTAGTGCAATCATTTCTGTAAAATGTTAGCACAAACTTGTGTGACTTTTATGAGAGGGAAGGAAAATTTTACATGGTTTTAAACATTTTTATAAAATATCTGCTGACTTAATTTAACTCTCCCCCGCCTCCCTGAAACAATACCTTAGAGAACCAACTGTTGAATTTGTAGCTGCAAGTCTACAGTCTAATTTTTGCAAAAATGTCATAAAATATCCCATTCTAGTGCATTATTATGCTTTTTAATTTAAACCATTCCACTGTAGCTCTGGCTGCAGTAAATCATGAGGGCGCACTAAAGCGAGGAGGCATTGCTTTATGACCTGACTGTTTTGGACTTCCTTTATGTCTGTGCTTTGTTGCTTGCTTTGAGGTTTTCACATAACTCCTGGGTTTATATTGGAATTACATCCGACACCAGCAGAATAAGGTAACGGACTGGATGCAAATTCATGCTTTTTTTAAATGTATTTCAGCTTCCATTTGATAGCTCTGCACTCCTGTGTGTTGATGTACCACAACTACAACAGGTTATAGTTGTAATGTGACAAGGTGTGAAGAAGACCAGAGGTAATGAATATATTTTATGTATGTCTAATGCTGGCCTATGTTTTATTTAGTGGTTTAGTGTTCTTAAACATACTGCTTTTGTGCAAAACATCTAAACTTTAGGCATCATTATCACTTTGCTTGGCCTTTTTTTCCCCCTCCCTAATTGGCCCCATGTGGGTGTAGTCTGCATGCTTCTAGCCAGCTTGGGACGACAGCTGTCAATCAAGCAGCATCTTTATAACTCGCCGCAGGGGCTGCATCTCTAGGTCTAAGGATAAAGCCGGGCGCACGCAAGAGCTCCACTCTTAACTCCTGACTGCCAGCTATTGACTTGTCTGATGTGATCTTTTCATCAGCCTTTGATCTCAATCCATTTCCGTCTTTACATCGCTTCTTTTTTTTTTCCTCTCAGGAAATTTTTCACCTCTTCTGGCTATCTCTGAATACTTTTTTTTCTCTTATCAGATCATCAACTCTTTGAGATCTATGGATAAGCTCGTTGGAAACAACGTGACTACGGAGAACAGCTCCTTGAACAAGTGGACGCTCGGTGAACCAGGCTTGTTCCACCATCGGGACCCCAGCGAACTCCGGGTCTTGGTGCCAGCCATCCTGGGAGTCATCTGTGTTTTAGGTGTGGCTTGTAATCTCACCGCAATGGTCATCCTGTTCTCGAACGCCCACCGGGGCAAGCTGTCCCTCATCAACTCGCTCATCTTCAACCTGATGTTCGCCGACGGGCTGGTGCTGATGTTCACTGTCCCTTTCAGGGCTGCCTCCTACTCCAGGGCGAACTGGAGCCTGGGCTGGGTGGTGTGCAAGACGGCCGACTGGTTCCTCCAGTCCTGCATGGTGGCGAAGAGCCTCACAGTGGCTTTCATGGCAAAAGCCTGCAGCCGATACGTGTCGAACCCCACCAGGCAGGTGAGCATCCACCTGGGCTCCATCCTGGTGGTGCTCTTCTTCATCTGGCTGTCTGCCTGCTCCGTCACCATTCCACTGTGGCTGTTTGCGAAGCTGCAGAGAGAGGTCCGTGGGCTCGTGTGTGTGCTAATGTTTCCTCCTGAAGCTAAGGAGTTCATGTCCGTGTACGTCAAAGCGTACCCCTTAGGGGTCTACTGTGCGCCTCTCAGCGTTGCCCTGATGTACGTCTGGAAGGCTTACGGACACTGCCAACGTCGCTCCAGTAAGTCTCAGAACCTGCGCACGCAGATCCGATCCAGGAGGCTCACCCTGATGCTTTTCAGCCTGACCCTGGCCATGGCTATCCTGTGGCTTCCTCAGTGGGTGGTATGGCTTTGGGAGAGGCATCTTGCAGAGAAGGAAACTGAAGGAGCTCAGCCACTGACTTCCTCTCCTCCCCTTTTCCTCGCCCTCTCTGCTCAGCTGCTCACCTTCTCTCTGTCGTTGGTGAACCCTCTGATTGTACTCTTCCTCTCAGAGGAATTCAGAGAGAGTTACCGGGGGCTGTGGAGGCGCCTCACCCTGCGCAAGCAGCCTCCACCAAAGCCAAAGCCCGGACCCCACAACCCTACCTCTCTCCAGTCCCCTTGCCCCAGACCGGAGACGTCAGGACAGCTCCCTGGAGAGAGAGGGATCCATTTCAGCTCCAGCCAGGAAACCAGCGACAAGGCTCAACCTCCGCCGGACCAAGGCAAACCTGGCGGGGAAAAAGAGGCGGACAGGGTGAGCCTTAAAGACGGGGTTGTCTTGCCTGACGTGGAGCAGTTCTGGCAGGACAGGGAGACCGGCTCGCACACGGATGAAAACGATCCGGTGCCGTGGGAGAACCAGGCCCAAGAAGAGAAAAAATAATAACCAGCCAGTCGCCAACGCACCTCTACCAACTGCTGCAATGTGAATGACTGATGTTCTGTCTTCTGTGTGTGCAATATTGTTCGAAGGTAAGACGTGCAATCAGAGCGAGTGAGACCCACAAATAGAACAGCGTCATCTGCATATGTGATAACCTTTTGCAGTTTGTGAGGTAATTATTAGTGCCTGTAAATTAAAACTTTATGATAGGACAAAATAATTTATACAAACTTTCTTTCCACATGGAGTCTGTACCAAAAGGAATAAAAAAATCAAAAAGCAGCCGGCTTGAAGTGTTTGCAAATAATTTCGACCTCTACTTAAAGGCTCACGTGTAAAATTCTTACTTTAACGAACTAAATATTTAAATGTGCATTTGTCGTTTTTATGATGATTAGAAAGTGGTTTGCATGCCGCCGTTGACGTGACAGTAATTGGCCTCGGATTTATTCGCAACGTGTCTCTAAATGGAAACTTGTTTTCAATAAATACCTGTGAAAATGTGGCCTGAGTGTAGGATTTTGTTTGGATTTCATGCTGGTCATTCAAAAGTGTCCACACACACACAGGTTCAATAGAGTCTTTGTGGGATTGATTCCTGCTGGCATTTAATCAGTGAGTATTTTTCACAGGGAAATCCTTTACAATTACCAGGGGTTCTAATTAAAGCGCTTGTCTGAGCTCAGACGTAGCATCCAGTATAAAACGACCTGTCTATGGTTTACATAGGCATAATTAAGAATATCTTTTTTTTTTTTTGTCTACAACAGTATATTCATACTTTGAATCATTTAGCTCTAAAAACCGATCTCAGTTACCTAACAACTCCTGTTTTCTCACTCCCTTCCTATCTGACATTTCCCCCCCTCATTGATTATTTATGCTGACCTTTTATTGCCAGAGGCAACTCACTCAATCAGAGCAACGCTTAACTGTATAACCCATCATCAGTCCCTGGGGTTCCTGCCTGCCCATAAACACTGAAGGTGGAAGAAAATGGTGCACAGGCAGAACATTTAGCTCCAGCCAGAAAAAAAATAAATAACCTTTTTCCCATCAGCTGTAGATGAGAAATAAAAGTGTTGTTGCTGTTTGTTTAAAGGCAAAACCCAATATGGTGGTTGTCCCCAAGCTGTCTTGTTTACACCTCTGGCCCTGGCATTTACCCTGTGAAATGAGCCAGTAAGTCTGTAGTTGTGGGATTTTATCCAATTTCAGCAGAGAGCCTCGGAGCTAGGATTCACTGAGCCCCAAAAAGTACAAATTAAATCTGCGTTTCAGGCTTTGACCCGAGCAGCAAAAACTGAAGCTCCAACACCATCACTGATCATTTTTGTGAGGTTTGTCCAAATGAGGCAGTGTGTATTGTGGCCGAGCAGCTCTAGTTTGGCCTAATTTCTTGTTGTTCGTCCAGATGGAACTTTGAACTCTGCACTTGAGTTTGAATTTTGTTTTCAGGAAGAAGACGTTTTCTTGAGGAAGCCCTTGCAAACATGCATATTCATTGATTTGCGGTCGTCGCGAAGATGCTAAACGAGCACGTAACCTACAACTACATGTTCTAGATCTGTAAGGACATCCGTTCTTGGAAAGACTGCCACTTGTTTGTAATATTTTATTGTTAGCAATCAGTCTCAATGACAATTCTGAAATTGCACTGCAAACTTTCCAAAGTTGAGGTATTTCTCTCAGGTCATTGCTGATGTTTTACCGCCTTTTTTTTTGAAACCCTTTCTCCTCCACGCAGAGTTTAATGCATTACGTCAAACTCAGAAATCTTTCTGACCCTAATTTCGTCCCTCATTTTGAGGAATCAATCAGCGCCAGGTTCAGCCAAGCAGCAGAAGTAATTTCTAATCCTTTTGTCACTCAGACACAGTTTGAAATGTTTTCTTCATTCAGTATAATGCAGAGCTCCACCAGACCAATGAGGATACTACTACTCTGCAAACCTGCAGATATGGGAGCAGTAGCATTATGGAGTTCAGTCACTGAAAAAAACACAAAATTTTACCAAGTAATTTTGATCCAGTTTCTCGTGCAAACATCTTAGTATTCTTGAAATAAAACAAAACTAACATACAAGTCACTTATCAGCAATAGGAGCTTATTTTAAGTAAATAATTCCTTAATATAGATGAAAAAGTTCCAGTTCTATTGGCTGATTATTTCACTTATAACAAGACATTTTTCCCATGTTATAAGTGAAATAATCTCTCAGTGGAACTAGTAGTTTTTCACCAATATTAAGAAAATATTGGCTCAAAACAAGATCCTACATCTTGCTTAGGAGTCAGTTTTGTTTTATTTCAGTCCTACGAAGATATTTTCACCAGAAACCAGACCAAAAGTACTTTTTTGTTTTGTGTTTTTACAACTACAGGTGAGCACTCCTTTAATTTCTTCACATTCTGAAAAGCAGTGTTTAGTTCTGGACTCACAAAGTGTTTTTGGAAGCGGGCCCAAAAAAGTTACACTGAAGGTCTCACCTGACCAGATTGTTTTTCCTCATATTTGCTGCTCCCCTTCCAGGTTCGGGATAAACTTTAGACAGACCTTTTAACACGGACAGTAGTTGTCCTCCTAACTGAGCTGTGGATCTTTGCAGCTCCTCCAAAGTCGCTGTGTGGGCACATTTGCTTCCATTTATTTATGTTTGTCCACCATAAAAAATCTCAACACATTGAAGATGCTTTTGTTTTTAGTTGTAACAGAGATTCGAGGAGCATACATAGGATGAACTTTGCACGTTTATATCCGAGGTGGAGCACACATTGACCATTAAGGACTGAAAGCTTAGCAGAAAGCTGGCGCTAAAACACTTGTAGGATAATCAACGTTGCAAGCAAGAAAAACAAGCCCAGCCTAATTGGGTCATTGCACGAGGCAGGGGGGCTTTCAGCAGGTGAGATTCTCCCTTTGCCACGTCTCCAACCTGCTGAGAGGGGACGCGGGGGTCTCACCCCTGTGTTTTATCCCTCAGCCAATCATCATCTCTAAAAAATGAAACTCTACTGGAAGTGACACACTAATTATGCTCACCAGGAGAAGCTGGCTGCAATTAAGCCACACGATGAAACCTTTTTTTCCCCCCGCTTGTCAAACCTTCACCCTCAGTTACAGTTGCCTCCATTTACCCTCCAACCCCCCCAAGAGCAAAATCCCCAGGCTCTTCGGCTAGTGTAGAGTTAAAAAAAGAAAAAAGAAGGGAGTATTTGTGAGCTGGAGGTTGGTTAGTTCAGGGGGTCTGGCCTCTGGTATTTAACAGGCTTTTGATTAGAATAAATCAGAGAGCTTTCATCTCAGTAAAGGCTGCAGAGATCTAAAGGGCAGCAGCATTTCAACGTTTCCACCTAAACTTAGCAGGGAGGGAAATCATTTAAACCTGGCAGCGTGTGGACCCCTGCAGGCTAACTGAGAGTACTGACACAGACTAGTTGAAGGGTTATAACCGGAGGATTTCCACTTAACGAGCGACAAGTTTGTGCTTACAAACTGCAAAAATATGTTCTTAAGTATTTCATAGACTGACACAAGAAGACATTTGTTTTTTTTTTATTTGACGTCCAGTTTCAGATGCATCGGCTGCATCCATTTGCATAGGTCTGGTGACAAGGTAAGTCATGCCATTTGACAGAGTGATTTCAGTGAACATTACCACAATTTTGAGAAAATAGTTGGACGAACGACATTACATTTCAAAACGTGACCCAGCCTGCAGTTTCCCCAAATGTGTTAGTTTTTCTTTGAACTTTTTACACAATCACATGTGATCATTACAATCATTGTTGTGGTTTTGGTAGACTATATGAATGGCTCAGTTTAATTACTACTATAAGTGCACAGAAAAAAGAAAGAAAAAATCAGATTGTCAGAGTCAAAATGAGAAATTATAAGTTATTTAGGATGAAACAGGTACCTTAAAGTGACTTCAAAAAGGTTTCATAGGTGATACAATTATTTAGATTATTGTGGAATGGCCTACAACTCTTTGATGTACACCCACAATATGACAACAACAAAGAATTAAAATTTAAAAAAGACCTATAAAGCTAAACATCCTTTACATTTCTTAACATTGATCATTTATCCTACTTACAGCATGCTTGTGAGATTTTTGCGGTTATCCTGTCATCACCCAAAAGCCATTTATTACCCAACATCATTCACAGGTCACATGTTTTCTAAATATAAGACATTCTGGGTTGATGATCTTTGGAGTACCGTGTTTGGTACATAGGCTGAACTGTAAACATTATTTTCCTCTTCTTGAATAAATAGTTGAAACACTTTCCATCCACAACAAGCACACTCAAGTAAAAAAAATAATTAAAAAAAAAAAACCAGAATAAAATTCACAGCTCTGGCGGTTTCACGTGGATGAAGCAGACACGTTCGTTTGCAAACTGCTAGTGAGGCTTTAGATCTACTCTGCAGTACCTCAGTGCACTTTAAGTGAAAATACACGATCAAGTATTTCGCATAATCCACAGTACTGCAGATTGGAATAAAAACAGTACAAGGCAGTCCAGTTCTGGATACAAGAGGTGGTCCCAGTTCCTTCCTGAGCTTCCAGTTTAAACTCTGGAAAGATGAGATGCAAAGACAAGGAGCTGATATGAACAAACACATAAACTACTGTTCAAACTCATTAAGTTTTACTGGAACATCAAATGCTTTAATATTGGGATTTTGTCTCAGATTTAAAAAAAATGTAGTGCACAATTGCACTACATTTGTAGTTATGCACTACTTTATGTTGTCACAAAAAAACTAAAACAAACTGAAGTTTGTTGAAGTTTAGAGGTCTAACAGTTTTATCATATAAGAGCTCAGGAATTATGACTACTTGTTGCAAGGCTGTTTTCAAAAACCTTTACCTGTTTGGCATTTTCTGACCAGCAGATGGAGCCAAAGCGTCATTTCTTCGCAGCACCTTATTTGCAGGCTGGAGTCTTTTCACATGAACAATATGGTGATCCTAAATTAAGAAAAAGAAAAGGAAAAAAAAACAACAGAAAAAATATGTTTTCTTTTGTGTGTTACAAAAATTAAGTTTTGATGTTTACACAAACGGGCTTACCGCACTCTGCCTGCTGACTGGACAGGGCGGCGGCGGTCTCTTCGGGGGGTCAGGTCGCATCTGCCTTTTAGGGTTTTGAGAAGGTAAAGATGGAGGCCCTGGAAATATTGCGGACGCCTGGCTGGGTCTCTGTCCAGCGTCCTGAGCTGCTGTAAAGAGAGGCTGGGTGTGTCCCTGAGGAGATGTTTGCTTCTGAGGAGGACGAGCTGCAGGTGGGACGGGGGCCGGCGGCTTCTTTCTGACGTCTTTGTGCTCAGCAGTGTAGGCGGGGATGGGCGGCGGCTTCACCGCCGGCCGCACGATCGCCTGCCTGGGCCTATCTGGGCACGACGGGCTCGGATGAGGGGTAGACTGTTCGCGTGAAAAAGAACAACAAAGTTCAAGGTCTTCTACTAAGACACAACGAATCACACTCATATCTCCGTCAACATGCACATGAATGTTCTTAATTACCAAATCCTGCTTCGCTAGGAAAGTTGGGTTGGCATGACCGATGATGTGAGAATCGGTTTCCATGGGTTTACCTTCAGCTGCCTCTGAACATCTAGAAGATCAATTAACCACAGCGGCTACAAATTCAACAGAAAACTCGGAAGGGAACATCAGATATCAACAGTTGTTGCTGTAAATCTTTGGTATTTATCGTTGTGAAATTACATACTTTGGCACTGGCAACGGAGGAAAGGTCTTCAGTGGACCGAGTCTACGTTTGTAGCAGAACCAAAGTCCAAAAACAGCCAAAACCACGAGGAGAACCAGAATAAGCACCAGTGGCAGCAGAATGCCTATTATTGGAGTACAACAACAGAGAGCAAACAAACACAATCAGCATAGGAGGAAGATTTAATTTAATAAAGTTTTACAATCTGGCAACACGCAAAACCTCAGCCGGGCTCTGTACCTGGATTCCTGGGAGGTCCGCTGTCCAAACTCCCCCCAGACCCACTCTGGTTGCACCAAGGAGGAGCCCAGCCCGGGTCGCAGTGGCAGTTATGGTTGTTGTTGCACAGCTGGAAAGATGAAAACGTGAAACATGAACGTGGGAAAACGTCAGCCTCTATTCCCAACACGGATAAAGGTGCAAACTTTTTAGAATGACGAAATTCCTTCGATCAGATCTGAAGTTGACTCAAGTCATGCTTTACAGCCAGAACCCCTTATCGTCTTAAACGTGTGAAACAAGTGAGTCACAACTGGCTTTACTGTTGTTTCTTCAGAGCGCATTGCTAGTTCTAGCAGAATTATCACATAAGAAGAGCCTTCAGAAAAACACCTCTAAAACTGGCAGGCATGGACAAACGATGAGGTTTTCTCTAAAAATGCAGACCAAAGACAGCCAACTGTTTAAAACAAAAAAAAAATAAAAGTGTCGAATGGGTGCATAGCTGCTTGTGGCCGACATAAAAGAAAAGGAGTGAGTATTTCTACTTTCCCAAAACAAACAAGTCAGGGAAACTTGTGAAAGTAAACCAGGCGGATTTCTCCTCACCCACCAAACAGCTGGGATCTTTCTGGTGCTTTAGCTTCTTTCTTTCATGCTTTTCTTCAAACATTGTTTAACTTGGAACACGTCAAATATAAAAGTTACATGTCTGAAAAAGACTGAGAAGTTGGAAAAATGATATATTCCCTTTGAAGCATTTTAAAGATTCAAACCTAATCAAATTTGACAATAAAAATACATATTAGAAAACATTTTTAGGGTGTGCATTTTGCCTTCTCTCTAAATTCTCCTTTTAGAGGTCATAGCAGAAAAGTTTTCAGTAATCGTTAAACTACTATGGTAACAGTACATAACATTGGTAACATTTTGGAGAAAAGAAACAAGCTCCCACCCAAATCCATAAACCTGTTCACCTTCGACACTTTTACTTAGTTTTCGCTCATAATTAAAGCAGTAGGATATTAGGAAAACCAGAAATTACCATTTCATTCTTGAATTTCCCGCCAACGAGAATGATTTACCCAAGTTTTCCTAATTTCACTTTATCATTACAATGGCACCTTAAAAATTAGATGCTACCAAATACTGCAGCTATTGGGCAGGTCAAAAATGCAACGATAAATGGGATTCCATATATCTCTCAACACGACTCTTCATTTTCTGCGTCTTTCGAAGTAGGATTTTAGCATTAGTAGTAGAATTCCTACAGCATCGCGCTGTATTTTAAAAGGGAAATAATTTCAATAGTTCTGCTGGCCCCACTGCCAAAGACGATTACTTTCCATAATTACAGGCCGGCAGCCAAATAAATCCATCATTTCTGCTGCAACACACTGGGACCTACTCCGTGTCCGTGGCACTTGGCGTTGCAGTCATCCGCTCTCAGGAACGATGCATTGCGACACTCTCCGTTAAAGCAGATCTGTTGGGGGGGGGAGAAAAGGAGTTCTGTGAGGAAGAACATTAGAGAAGTGGCAAAATAAAACACAATCGTAATGCAGTTAAAACAAAAAAGAAAGAAAGAAAGAAAGAAAGAAAGAAAGGAAGAAAGAAAGGAAGAAAAAGAAGAAGCTAAAAAGAAAACACTTCAAAGCCTGAGGATTTCACACTTTGCTAATTCTGGAAATCCCATTTAACGTATTTTCACACGTCTCACAGAGTTATCAGCACACTTGGTTCCCGTCATGACCAGACCCGGGTCCAGAGTGTCGCCCTGCGGCTCCTTGTCCCCTTGGCCGAGCTTGTGCACGTGCGTCCCCAGGCACTTGTACTCGGTCCTCTTGCTGTCCACTTTGACCGTCGTTTCTATGCGGACCGCGTTGTTCTCGATGGGCTTGGCGGCGGAGGCAGAGCACTGGATTTTCCCGCATTTCGCATCCCTGGACAGCAGCGACGAAAGACGTGCGTTAGACGAAGGAGAGCGAGAGGAGCACTTCCTGAATTTTCCCTGAGTCTTCACCTGTCTCTGCAGCTCCTGTACTTTCCGTCTTGGTCTTTGCCGCAGTTGCCGTACATGTCCCCCGCTTTGTTTACTTCTTTAAAGCACACGTCAGGGGATGGGCGCGCATCTGTGGTTTGGAAGAAGAAGAAGAAGAAGAAGAAGAAGATCACAATAGCAATACAAAACACACACAAACACACACGTATCCCTCTGTGATCAGCGACCACCTGATGAAGACCAGATGGGCTCCCGACTGCCTCTGATACGACTCCTTTGATGCATCAAAGACTCTCTAGGAAGACTCTGTTACGACATCAGAGGCTGGTTAGGGGACATTATTATTGAAGCAGCTCACTTCACCTAAAGAGCCTCAATATTTGGAGGTTTTATAGGATAACAAAAAAAAAAGAATGAAATAATTGATTAATTATGTCCAGCAGAGAAACAAACATCTACTGTAAAGTTAAGAGCTGATGCTTTAAAATGGTTTTAAAATAGGGCAATTTAGATATTAAAATGATTGCTTCCTAAACACAATCCATAATAACCTGACTGCATCTAAAAAAAAATACAGATTGGGTGCTTTTGTCTAAATATATCTCACTTGGCTTGTATTTGAAATGAATGTGAATGAGTAAGATTATCAGAATCTTTATTGGCCTAAACTACTGCGTCATCACTTTCATCCACACACAAGACTCTGAAAAACTACTTTACTATATGAAAAGTGGCTTTTTTTAGCTATAATAAATACAAAAGTATCCCTTAAGAACTTAAAAATATCATTAAATTTAAGTGCGCCGCAATGAGCAGATGTTTCCAAGCACAATTTCCATCCATGGAGAGAGACACTTTCTGAGAAGAAACATTTAAAAAAAAAAAGTTTTCAAGGGGCTTAACTTTATAGGTTGATCTTAGGGACTTTAAATCAGTAGTGAATCCTTGTCTCCCTGACGCACAGATGAGACGAGACACAGACAACTTTCACTTATTCCTCTTCAAAATGGGAAAGACGTGTGATGTCTTCTGATATTTGTACGTTGGGAAACGATTAGGCTGGATAAGGAATCAAGTCAAGTTTATCCTGTCAGCAGGATGGTAGGGAATATAAAGAAACATATCCAAGAATCACTGCTGTCAAACTACTTTGGGTCACCAGTTTTCCAAAACAACTACTGGATTCTGCCTACTTGACTTGCCAACTGGTTGCTTAGGAGTGATGCAAACACATTTTCTGTAATGATGTTTGCTCAACTCTTCTTTAACCTTCCAACATGAGCCAAACTCTCCAGCTGGCTCTGGTCATAAAGAAGGGGCGTGCTTGTGGGAAACTCATGCCCACCGGAGAACTGGAGACACTGTGGGCCTTTTCCTCTACCAAATCCACTGAGAACCTTACTTGTGACTGGCATCATGGACTCGTAGAAAAAGAAGGACATCTTTGATTAAAACCTTAGTGGTTTCTGTCATAAAACTGAATACGGTATAGTAAAGCCAACCTACAGCATCTGCAGAGGAAATGGCCAATCTAGTTTGTGACCAGCCTAGGCATCCTAGTTGTTAGCCTGTCCGAAGCTAACACAACTAAGTATTCTCCTCCTCATTTGCCAGTGCTGGTTGCTTAGTTACCATGCCTACCCATCATTAATCAGACCAATTGTTGGCTTCAGAATGGATTTTGCCTCCTGTAGCAAGGAAATAGCCACAGCTGGGTGGGCAATAGTCTTAAATGTGGCGATAAAACCACTTCAGCCATAAATGATGATGACTTGAAGAGATCATAAGAAATGATTCTGTGTGATCTGTAGGAATGATCAAAGATCCCTTTCTCTGTATGTTACAACAGACAAAGCTTCCTATATGCGTTAGGAGGCTGTGCATAATACTATTACAATGGGATCTAAATAAACTTTCTCAAACTGTGAAACATTCAAATGTGCACATATGACATGTGTCCAGTTTACTCACCTCGCCCCCAGAGGAACTGACACTGTTGCTCCAGAGTCAGACACATGCCCGTGTAGCAGTAGGCCCGCCCGTGTGCGCAAGATGTACCGTCCGCCAAGTAGAAATTAGCTGGACACGACTCCGACTTTCCGTCGCAGTACTCTGGAAGATCGCACAGCCCAGATTTGCCTCGGCAAAGCTCTCCTGTGCTCTTTATCTTCACAGTGAGACACAGAGGGAAGATAAGATGATTCAAAGAAAGCCAGACTTTCTTAATAACAGTAGTGGTCAATCAAAAAAAAAAAAAAAAAAAAAAGGTTGTTAACATTTATTTAAAAAAATGTGAAAAATACTTTTCTTTCACACCTTGCCATAAACAGCCACCTAACCTAACCCTGCATACCTTACAGTTATGGCAGCAGACTCCATGGGCACACTCGGCTCCATCTTTCAGGGTGCAGTTGTTGGCGTTGCAGCATGGACTGGTGCATTCCTGTTCACGACGTTTAGCAGCGTAAAATATCAAAAAAAAAAAAAAACAAAAAAAAACGCTGAAAGGAAAAGAAAAAGTGTCTGCACACAGAGCCCGTCTGACCTCTTCCTCCCCACAGTCACATTCCTCTCCGCTCTCCAGGTAGCCGTTGCCGCAGCGCCGTCCTCCGTACAGCGAGTCGATGTTCGGCAGGTTAAAGAGACATTTGCCTCCTCCAGAGTTCAGGTAAGTCTTGAGTTCCTTCAGGTTGCAGGGATTGAACACGCGGGGAAACGGAGACCTGCAGAACGGAAGAGACACCAACCATACGCCAGGTACAAAATGAATCGCCTTTCCTATTTGCCTTCTAAATGATGTAGCCTGATTTCACGTCATGCTCCAAGGGTGTTGCGTTATACCCGGTGGCAGCGGCCATTATGCAGCCGCCGTCTTCTGCCTTGGCCTGGCAGCAGCCATCTCTGTCGTGATTCATGCCAAAGTTGTGGCCCATCTCATGTGCAATGGTGGCGGCGACCCCGACAAACTGTGGCGAGTGGTCCTTAGCGTTCAAATATGACATAAGGTTACACATTAAACGACAAGGACACGTGGTTGCAACTGCAAGTGGAACGTGAGAGTCGTATGTTGGAAATTAGGATTATTGTAGCGGTTTTGTTGTTTTTCTCTCTTACCGTGTTCACGCCACCCGACTGGTATTCAGAGCACATGGTTTTAAGTGGTGCCAAGCCAATAGTGCTGCCCTGGAATGACATCCCCCTGCACACAAAAACACCATCAGTAACTGGTTCTGCACAAGATATTTACCAACTGGACTGAGAACGTACAAGGAGTTGTCAAATATATTTTCTATCACATAATTTATCCAACTCTGGACTGTCTGTTCTAAGCAGCAACGTAGAGCCGGTCACTTTGTTTTTTTTTTTTTACATCCTGTGAGCTACTGAGGACTTTCATGTAAAAATTAGACTCCTCCATCTCAGTTTTCTGGGGGATCCCGAAGGAGGAAGTCAGGACAAGAAAAACACTTGAAGAGACATGAGGTACTTTTCCAAGCGATGTACGAACCACGCAGTTCAGTCGTCCTGTGGGTTTTAAAAGGATTTTGTCAAATCAGAGAGCTGACCGACCACAGCCTTGAAGCAGTGGTGAAAGACAAAGTCAGCTCAGCAACAAATAAGACGCCATCGTGTCTGTGGATATTTCCGTAACATCACTGAATTGAGCTGAATCACATTTTTATGGAGCTATTTAGGATATCACTTCATATGATTTCTTGTCCCATTTTTACTCTACCGTCAACTTTTGGCTACTTCCGGATCATTTTTCATTTGAATTATTTGAAATAAAATACACACTAAACGTTCAACGGGTGGCGTGCTCCATGGACAAAAATGCACAGAAGTTGCAGTTAAAGGAAGCACAGAGATGAAGACTTTTTGGGAAGAGTAAAACAATGAGGTTTCATCATATGGCGAGAGACACCGACGTGACGAGCTGAGCGTTGTCGTTGGGGAGATTTTTCAGCTCCTTCCGTCTCCAGGACAGGAACGCCGCCAAGGTGCTGTGCGGGTTATTGGACACGACGATCTTGTCCTGGTCGGTCCACACCTCCAGTCCGATTAAAGCCACGCGGATATTCAAAGCCTTGTAGTACTGCAGGGAGTCGAT